ATCTAGATGTAAATAAAACAAAGAAAAACTAAGGAAAAACAAAATAAATTAAAATCGCGTGTGCATTTCTGCGATCCGGCTCGAATCCGGCTCTAAAGCTATAGAAATACTTCAAACTAACGAGTGGGACGCTTAGGCCGTTTTTATTTTCATGTTTCGTGGGAATGCGCGGCCTCTGAGGGATATTGCAGAAGCAGCACAGTTGCTCTTGAGTTCTAGCCTTCGTTCTTATTTTGCAGCACCTAAATGTTATCCGCATAAAGAAATTGCGTTGTACTTGTATTCCAAAGCGCAATTACAGGACTTGGCAAAAAGCCAAGAGAGCTGCACGCGACCGCGCCGCGCGGACGGTGTTAGTAAAAACGTGAGTTTGCAAAAACGGGCGGCGTAGCAAGGAATTACGACTTTCCCACGGCCCGTACTCTGACCCCGTGCAGTTTTGGGCGGGGGACCACGACACATCGACAGCTGGGGGGCTGATAGTCTCATACACCCTCAATGTGTTTGAGCGTACCATGTGTCTTTAAGGTCTGAGGAGGCTCCGTTGCAGCGAAAGCTCACCAATAAAGGTTATTTAGCGGGTGCTTAAATCCTAAGAGGATCTTTAAACAAATAAGGCTCAGCATTAGTTTGATTACATGGTCGGCATTCAGTCTCACGCTTCTCATCGCGCGAAGTGCCAAAAAGCGCAGGAAGTGCGGGATGAACGATCCGTAACGAAAGACAGCTGGAAGAAGAGCTGCAAAATCTACTCGCCTCGCATTGCAATTCTATTTTGGGGATACTTACAGTTACCCAATAAATGGCAGCTCAACGTAGGTACTAGCAATGCTTGCACAATGTTTATATCGCTACTGAGGTTAAGAGTTTTTCTCGCATCCTGATGGAACTACTTTCAGCTCTCGTTGTGATTTCATGAGCTTTTCATGGTTCACCTTGTCCACAAGAAGTAACAATGTAGGGCTGGAAGGGTAGTGTAGTAATACAGTATTCTATTCCATTTACGGATTCTCTACTTTTCAATCATGCACAGCCAGCCTAGTTTTTGCAAGTGCTCAAAATAAAGGTACTAACCCCTCGGCCGGCTAATTCCTCCTCCATTTGACAGACATTTGCTCTGCTCCGAAAAAAATCGATCAATGAATCAAAGGCCATGTAAAATTGAGACGGATCCTGTGATTCGCATCTTGAAACGTAAGCCTCTCGGGGGAAAAGAGACTAGGAAAATATACCTGTTTGGAGTGCTTAAGAATGTCTCCCAGAAGAGTCCGTCCGGCTTTCGCTAGCCACATCCTCCTATGTTCATCACTGAGACAGGTCTGCAATCACTGAATACGAATAAAGTATACAAACGGATAAAGAGGCGCACAACCCTGAACGTACAGCGAAGGCTTGTCGAAGGCACCAAAGTTTAGCAGCAAAATCGAGCTCACTTTCGCACTGACATAAGTCACCTCTCATTTTTCTGTAGTCCACCTTGAACAAAGCAGTTCAGAAAGTGTCAACAGAAGCTAATGACTTGACGGCAAGAAAGGACTCAAACTTCTCCATTGGTAGCTGCTCGCAGTCCATCTTTGTAAAAAATAAGTTGATCTTCAGGTACTGCAACGAAATCGCGAAGAAGATCATCATCAAGCGTCACCGACTAGAACGAAAGGTGAAGCATCCACACTAGGAAATGGAATTATCCCACTTACAAACTCTTCATAAGCCGACATAAAGGAATCATCCGAAAGTACTGATAATGTTCCAGCACGAGGAGCACTGTGAATTGTTGTCCAGCCAGCCGATTGATAAACGGCACTGCCAACTGAAACTTTTCGACAATAAATGGTGAGAACAAATACATAAAGGGACTAGAGAATTCGCTACCATTCATCTACTACTTCCCAAACATTCGAAGAAAAAAATTTCAGCCGAAACTTTGCCAATACGGGTTATCATGCCCTGATCACCAGTACGATATTCACTTTTCACCCCGGCGCTGCAATGCGCAATTTGGCGCCACCAATTTTCTCACCAAAATCGACGTAAACTTGCTGGAGTTCTTTGGCGTTGTTTGATGCCTCATCACGAATATGGCATCCATTTTTCGACACCAGTGCCATTACGCGTTCTGCTGAGGTTGAGCCTCAGAGAACGATTGAGCTCAGCCTTAGCAGAGCACAGACTATCATAGTGTCCTCCATTAGCGCCGAGGCCAAGAATGAAAGTCATATCCGTTATCGGTGTTAAATAAGCACCCTAGACAAGTCTTCATCAATTCTGGTGATTGAAAATTTTGGTATCAATGCTCAGGAGATCACACTACCACCAGGGACATTTTTCAGCAAACTTGGTGATCTAGACTACTTAGCGCCGGTGACTGTGGCGGTTTCGTGCCAAGCGGAGGTGATATTCATGCTGAGGAGGTCAAACTACCCCCGTAGACAAATTTATAGCCAAATCCGCCCTCGTAGAAAGAAGTCGGTGGAAAGCTGGCCGGATTTCGGAGGATTGGGGCAGTAATAGTTGAATAGTGCCAAAAGTTCAACCACCCACAATCGTCCTTAAACTCTTCTAAAACACCATCTGCGACAAGTCGTGCCACATCAGTTTCGAGTAATCGTAAGCGGTCAGCTATGGAGCTGAGATCTCCGTGACTATCAGGATGCATTTCGCTTCTCGTGCGGTACGCCTCAATGACGGCAAGGGCTCGCCCTAACGACCGTAATACGTCTTGGCCCGAGTCGACAGCTAAAAACTGAACTGTTAGGTTAATCAAAGAACTCCGCAAAACCTCAAACTAACAAACCGCTCTATAAAAAAATTGAAACAAAATAATTGTCACAAACTGAAATAAAATTGACTGTCATACTGGAAATATTCAGTATTGTCCGATTAACAATAAATCTGACGATTGTAAATTCTTCAGCCTATTCTGTGTCTCAAGGAATGCCTGTTCCTGTGCTGTTTCCACCAAACCGTTATGTTTATCTTTTTGCCTCGCATTTATCTAACGCTATGTGGATGTTGTTGCCTGTCTTGAGTTTACCAAATGCAAAATTTTCTGTGCATTGGAATTTTTTCCAAGAAGGTCGTTCTAAAAGTGAACAGAGGGAGTTTGGAGGTGACTCAGTTTTTTTCCTCTCATTTATACCTTGTTGCTGTCTCCCTGAACTGTTCTTTCTCTCGGTGCTGGGAAGAAAACTTCTAGGAAGTGCATGTCGGCGCGGCCGGATTGCCATCGGGGCGCATCGGCAGTAATTGACACCCTCAGTCCGCTGATGCGATGCGTGTCGTGTACAGGGCAACTCGTCCACGTTTATTAATAACTTGATCGACTACTTGATCGACCTACGCTGGCACTGCGCCAACATAGACGACCGATTGCGTGCGAATCTCCTACTTAACCATTTTCGTCGGTTTTTGAGCAATTTTTGCCCTCTTTTGCCCGACATTTCTTGATGCTGGGTAGCTACTTAGAAGTGGTTATATCGAGAGTACTTTTGAGCTCTGATCTATCCTACTTCAAAACAGCTTCCAGTTTTTATGAGTGCTCCTCTGCACGGTAAGTCCAGTTCACTTTACTCAGGTAGGAGTTTATCAGAAAATTTGTTATCATTGCTATTGAATAATTCTTCCTTATGCACACTCGGGCTATAGTTACAATGACCTTCCATGCTGGTTCCCTTTTTTTCTGCGAGTATAAACAAATTTGAGTATTTAGTTTTCTTTCCATTTGGCTTTCATGGGCTGTGTATTTCATAGGAGGCCCTGCAGTTTGCATTCTCTTAGAAATGGGGCATTTTAGGGAGTGGAGACCATTTTCAAAACATACTAGAGGTTTGAAACATAATGTAGAGGTACATGCATTAGAGGAAACCAACGTATACTTCCGATTCACTTCGAGGTGCTGAAAGCAGCGTCCTTAGACGTCCTAAGGTTTTCTCACTCAATAGTATTACTAAATGTTTCTAAACTACTCAAATTCAAGTTTTTTTTCTATTCGTTATGTCACTGTCATTGCTGATATACGCTAGATTTGATGTCTCCACTGGGCATAGCAAATGAGTAACGGCAGAGTCGCACCTTCACTCCCCTGTGGCAGTAATAAATGAGGGACGTCATCCTTTGACAAGGTCAGAATGCCAGTTCCAACTCGCAAATATGTAAGTGTAAGAGGGTCATCAATCGAGGTAAAGTATAAAAAAGGCTGTAGCTCAGCAATTCTCAAGGCTCATGGAACAGAGGTGAAATTAACTCCCTTGGCGTAGGTAAAAGGCTGTTTTTCGTGCACTGAAGTTGCTGTCTGACTCAACAATCGTTTCGCTACGAAAATTTAAACGAGAAATGCAACCTACCATCCGATATTAGCTAGCTTCACAGTGGTGAAGTTCTTCAAAAATGCATCGCTTGAGGGTTGGCACAATTTTTTTGGAATCTTTTAAAAAGGTTAGTTTACCCCTTGGGCACGCTCATTTTGGGGATAGAGCTGTAGCCAAATATACTGGTGACAAAAAATTTTGGCCAGCTGGGTGAAACAGTGAAGGGTAGACTGAAGTGTAGACAGCGATAGTTTGTTTCACAAATTTATGTCCACTAAAAAACTCCGAAGTTACCACTCGAAGTACCATTCATTGTCTACTGAAAGCTGCTTCGAAGTAAGATATATCAGAACTCAAAAGTGCTCCCGATATAACCACTTCTAAGTAGCTATAAGTAAGGGATGTCGAGGCGAAAGAGGGCAAAAAATCGCTCAAAAACGGACGAAAATGGTTGAGTAGGAGATTCGGACGCAATCGGTCGTCTATGTTGGCGCACTGCCAACGTAGGTGGATCAAGACGTTAGACATTAATAAACGTGGACGAGTTGTCCGACCCACGTAACGCGTCGAAACGAACAAAGGCGAAAGAGCAGGAAAAGGTTGACCAATCGGCGTGGAACACATTTGAGTCCACAATTCCGCGTTGTGAGAACTATCAGGTCCGGCAACCATGGACAGCTGAGGCGGCTACTACAATAGCGGACGTTAAGGCACTCCCATACGGGAGACTCTGCTCAATTCCAAATAGGCTCAAGTGCTCACCTGACATCCTCCAGCAGTATCACCAGAACTTCGTCGATCAAGTGAGCAAGGGTATTCTCGAAAAAGTACAAGCAGATAACAAGACTTCTCCTGGTACCGTCGTTCATTATCCTAGCGCATCAAGCGGTAGTCACTCCAGACAAAGAGCTTCACAAAACTTCGAGTGGTCTACGATGCCTTGGCACATTAGAACAAACCCTCCTTCAATGATGCCTTGGAGCGGGGACCGGTGATGCTGTCAGCAATGCTTAACATGCTTCTTCGATTCCGAGTCGGGAACATTGCTATAATCTCAGATGTAGAGAAGGCGTTCTTGCAGTCCACCTTCACCCTGATGACCAAGACGTAGTACGCTGTCTTTGGGAGAGACATAACAAGACCTCCAAACGGGATCGAACGTGATTGAGTATCGCTTCACACGTCCCATTTGGACTCAAGTGTTCACTGTTCCTCGTAGCAGGAACAATACGACATCATCTCAGTACTACTACAGGTAACCCTGGAAATTAGCTAACGTGTATGTGGACATGGTTCTTACCACTACAACACAAGAGGAGGCCGAGCGAAGCATCAAGAATCCAAAAGTCTCTTCAAGGCGATGAACATGAATCTCCGTGGATTTCAGACCAACAGAGATGCTGTTAACGCTCAAATCCCACAGGAAGATAGAAGCTCACACAGGAATCCCAAAGTTCTTGGGATAGTCTGAGACGCCCAAGTGGATCTCCTGTCGATCGAAGGCAAAATTACCAAGAAAACAGAGCTGACTAAAAGAATTGTTTCTGAGCAAGTGCCTCAATTTTCGATCCGATGGGATGGCTCACACCTCTGCTGCTCAAAGCGAAGCTGCTTTTGCAAGCCCTCTGGCAATCTGGATACGACTGGGACGCGAAACTCTCCACAGAACACGAAATGGAATGGAACCAGATTTGCAGCAACATTAGCGGATATCGACGACGGCTACCACGAAGAGTGGCTTCTTCAGATTCAGTGGCACAACTGGTATTATTTGCAGATGCAAGTAACAGTGCTATGGCAGCGTGCGCTTACCTTGTACAAAATTAGAGTCACATCTCTTGTTTGCCAAGTCAAGACTGCCAAACCCTAAAGAGCGACCCACGATTCCTAAATGGAGATCAACGCAGCCACACTAGCGGCAAGAATAGCTCATATGGTATATAGAGCGCTAGAGAGCAAAGTCCGAATTTCTTCCATCACCATTCTCTCAGACTCGCAGAATGTCTGAGCTGGCTATCAACGTATCCACTTCGAAAGGACTGCGGCGTTTTGGTGAAAAATCGAGTCAATGAGATCAGGAGAATCGTTCAAACCATCGACGTTCCCGTCCGCTTTGGATACGTCGACACAAAAGATAACCCCGCAGACTGTGCAACCAGGGGATTGACCTCGACCAGTATGGACCAACATATGTGGTGGACTGGGCCAGAGTTTTTGAAATTGCCTGAGATTGCCAGAGAGCTTGCAAAAGCAGCTTCGCTTTGAGCAGCAGAGGTGAAAATGTTTCCCTAACCCGTGCAATCAAGTGCGACGTGCTGAGGTGGAGTGGATTGTGCGCGTCCTCACGACGCATTCTGCCAGCGGTGTTTTCGCGCTGATAGAACGGTTTCTGCGCCGTTTCTGAAACCTGGGCTATATCCAAGCGTCCGACAGAACGAAGTAGACCGTCCTCGTCGCGCTTCAGGTTCAGACTTTTTGCGGATTCGCGGAGTTGGGCGTTGCGTTGATCGAAAGTGCATGTCCTTTTTGCTGACCGCGTTGGTGCCAATAGGTAGTTCTGCTCTCCTTTATTATTAGGCTGGCGGGAAAGTTCTGTCCATTTTTTTCAAATTAGGCTTTCTTTTTACAGAGAGGCGTACAAGATCAAAATTATACAGCAATGTTATTGAGAGATCCTTGCCAGTTTTTGGACAGTTCGTGGATGCCATCGCTTAACAATGCACGCCGGCGCGACGCAAAGTTGGACATCATCTCAACTTTGACTTGGGCTCAAGTCGTGGAGGTTTTCTCGGCCATATAACGGTTAAGTACGAGAGGCAACTAGCAGTTAGAATAAGCATTGAACGAATTTTTCCCTGGTTTTTTTTTGCATTGAACGAATTTTTCCCTGGTCTGGTGGACGATTCGCTTCAGATCTCGTAGCTGCTTTGCGTACGGATTGACCGAGGAAGCAGCTTCTTCATCCAGCAGTTTCCGACCACAGCTCCCTCAAGCTGAGTTCACAGGTACACCCAAACCTCACTTCTTTCAAACTGTAGGCCCCGCTCTGAAGCATTAGCGTCGTGGAAGATTGTCTGATAATTGTAGACATCGTCCTTGTGCAGCTCCATTATTTCGGCATCGACAGCTGTCATGCTGGCGCCAGGGTGGTAGAAGAAAGAGTTTGAGGAAGCGCTTGAAGGGGTCGGTGCCGAAGGTAGCGGATAACATTCTTGTCCATATTGCAGAATAAGGAGAAGCAGGAGTCAAGCCAGTGATACCAATAGAAAGACCATTCTTTGATGTATAACTGCTCACATTACCGGTTAAACCTCTTTAGGTAATTATATCCTGCACTGCTACACTAAATATAGACATCCTTAAATGTCGTGGTTCCTGATCACTGTAAGGTGTTTCTGCTGGTTTCAGCAGATGGGTATGCAGCGGTTCTGGGCAAGTGTTTTGTGCTCAAGAAAACAAGAAACCTCCATAGATAGTGCTGCTTTTAACAACAAGAAGAATTTGCTTTCAGTGCTACATTTCAAATGAAGTTTTTGTCGTGAGCTTTGGAGACAGTCCGAAGTGAAGTGTGATGGATAGTTGTTGTTCACTTATGAGAACAGTAGCTGATAAGTAATTCCCCAAAGAAGAAAAAAGCAAGAAGAGTCCTCAAGAACACCATAAACAAAATCGCTCCCTGACAGTCACACCGCCCTGCGGTCTCTGTGCAACCCCTGGCTCACAAATCGCTTTTCGCATCTCCCAGTAGTAGATATCATCCAGTGCAAAGAAAAGAATACGAAAAACAACAAAAACACGGACGAAAAACTCTTGAAAAAGAATTTTTTTAAAAACTCGGCGTCCGAATTTGGGGTTACGGTAGCGTGCATCTTTCAGTGCGTCTCGAGCTTTTGCACCACGAAAATTGCATCACTCGTGATTTTTACGCGTTTTACCTTGCGAGATGGGTTGCAGTTGACTGAATGTGCTCCTAATGAATAAAATGCATTAGTTGGCTGGAAAGTTCTGTCATAGTTTTTTGAACCCAAAATATTTGCCCATTACCTGAAGAGGGTTAACCGGTAATGTGAGCAGTTATACATCAAGAATGGTCTTTCTATTGTATCACTGGCTTGACTCCTGCTTCTCCTTATTCTGCAATATGGACAAGAATGTTATCCGCTACCTTCGGCACCGACCCCTTCAAGCGCTTCCTCAAACTCTTTCTTCTACCACCCTGGCGCCAGCATGACAGCTGTCGATGCCGAAATAATGGAGCTGCACAAGGACGATGTCTACAATTATCAGACAATCTTCCACGACGCTAATGCTTCAGAGCGGGAGCCTACAGTTTGAAAGAAGTGAGGTTTGGGTGTACCTGTGAACTCAGCTTGAGGGAGCTGTGTCGGAAACTGCTGGATGAAGAAGCTGCTTCCTCGGTCAATCCGTACGCAAAGCAGCTACGAGATCTGAAGCGAATCGTCCACCAGAGGGAAAAATTCGTTCAATGCTTATTCTAACTGCTAGTTGCCTCTCGTACTTAACCGTTATATGGCCGAGAAAACCTCCACGACTTGAGCCCAAGTCAAAGTTGAGATGATGTCCAACTTTGCGTCGCGCCGGCGTGCATTGTTAAGCGATGGCATCCACGAACTGTCCAAAAACTGGCAAGGATCTCTCAATAACATTGCTGTATAATTTTGATCTTGTACGCCTCTCTGTAAAAAGAAAGCCTAATTTGAAAAAAATGGACAGAACTTTCCCGCCAGCCTAATAATAAAGGAGAGCAGTAACTACCTATTGGCACCAGCGCGGTCAGCAAAAAGGACATGCACTTCCGATTAATGCCCGCCGCCCCAACAAAGAACAACTGAGCGGCCCTCCGTCAGAGGGCATCTAGCAAGTGGGCGGTCCAACTGGGCGGGCGTAGAACTAGAACTTTCAGCGGCTGTAGCTCGCTCCTCGCTCGCTGTGGAGTCGCGAGAGTGGGATAGTCTCTAGCTTGGCTGGACTACTTGCACAAGGAAGGACGACCATGTACTACTTGAGCGTGGGGGCTATCTTTAACAAAGGGTGACCTTCTGACACTTTCCTAGTGCACAAATATACGCGTGACCTTATTTGCACACGTTCTGAATAAAAGGTTGTCCGGAAAGTTCTCAGCGTTTTGTGCACCTATTTTTTGTACATTCACTGCTGATTAAAAACTCATTCTGCCTTGCTTCTCAGTAGCACATCCTGTAGAGAATTTCTTGCGCTATCTGATGGTATAATTGCCGTTTCACCATTGCTTGATAAACCCCCTTTTTTCAAGATTTTTTCAAGCATGTGAAAAGAGCACTTCGGACGATTTTTTTCTTCGACTATAAATTGGGGCAATCCGCAATCGAAACAGCTCAACAAATTAACCAGGTGTGGGGGCCCAATAGTGCTAGAGAAAGCACTGTGCGGCAATGGCTCAACAAATTTCGTTCTGGAGATTTCAGCCTTGAAGATGAACCTCATAGCGGTCGACCTAAAGCAATATCTGACGAGGATTTTAGGGGGATTTTGGAGGCTGACCCATCCCAAACAGTTCGAGAGATAGCAGAAGAGCTAGGCCTTGGCAAATCCACTGTTGCAGATGGTCTGGAACGCATTGGGAAGGTGAAAAAACTCGACAATTGGGTGCCCCACAATCGGAGTGACCGGCAGGAATCGGCACGTCTCGAGGTTCCTTCTGCATTGCTTTTGCGCAGCAGAAACGACCTGTTTTTGGGCCGAATTGTCACCTGTGATGAAAAATGGGTCATGTATGATAACAGGAGACGTTCCGGACAGTGGTTGGATTTCGACGAACCACCGAGGTAATTTTCAAAGCCGAACCCTCACGAAAAAAAGATTCTGGTCACGGCTTGGTGGTCATCGGCTGGTGTGATCCACTATAACTTTTTATCACCAGGCCAAACCATCACAGCAGAACCCTACTGTGAAGAAATCGACGAATTGTACCGAAAATTTTGTCAGATGCAGCCAACAAAGAAGGGTCCTTTGCATGACAACGCCCGCCCACACGTTTCACAAATCACTATCCATAAATTGAACGAATTGGGGGTTGAAGTTCTACCTCAACCGCCATATTCTTCAGACCTTTCGCCAACCGACTATCACCTTTTCAACATTTTCAGAACTCCCTTGCTGGAAAATACTTCATCAATCAGGACCAGGCAAAAAAGCCTTAGTGGATTTCGTGAATTTTCGACCACCCAGTTTTTTGGGATTTCTCGACTGCTGTCACATTGGCAAAAGTGTGCTGATTCGAATGGTGCCTATTTCGATTAAATCCGATGAGTATTAAAAAAGTTACGATCGTTTAAAGTGAAACACTCCAAAACGCTGAGAACTTTCCGGACAACCTAATAACTTCAATTCTTGACATACTCCCTGTAAATGAGAAGGAACGGTGCTAGCGTATTTGGAGGAGGGGGACCACGCGGCTCGCGGCGCGCGATGACTCATCTGCTCTTCTGCTCCCTCCTCAGCGAAATAAAAGTAATTTCATGTTTAGGACATGAATATAACACCGCCGTAGGCTTATATATAGAAGGCAAAACAGTTAACGCTGAAAAGTGCGAAGAAACAATTGTAGGTCGCAAGATCTTTGCCTGAGCCTACAAGGGAAGGAATTCTGGCCTAGATGAACCCATCCTTTGTGTAAAAGTGACAATCAACCAATCCGCAGAATCTAAAAAAGAACCTAGTGCAATAGCTACCTATCAAATCGTAGAAATGAACCCTGAGCAGTTCCCTCACAATAAAATTACAAGACAATTCACCTCACCAACTCTCTCCACCTTCCCATTTGAAGTCCATCTGTTTCCGCTTTAAATATGACAGGAACCATCTGTGCGCTGTTTCAGACACATTCCCGGCGGACCTTTTTTGCTTCACTCTTATTTGCCTGCTATTTTACTATGCCGGGAACATAATGGGCGCTAACGTAGTTAGACGGAGGGGGGTAGGGGGGGGAGGGGAGAGGGAAGCACTGGGCCGCCCGCTTGTATCCTTTGCCCAAGAAGGCTCAGCATTCAACCGCAGACGTCGCCAAGGGATGATCCCGCAGAAAAGATATCTTCTTCACTGAGCCTTAACCTTGAGTAGGAGAAAAGATGCGAAGGCTCTGGCGAGTGGTCTCCTGGTCCCAAATTGCGCGCGCTAGCGCTACATAAATGAATTTGACTTGCCTGAAACAGGGTATGGTTCCAGACTAGTACTGAAATGATTTCTTTGTCGAGAGCCTCCCCGTCCATTTCCACGTTCGGTAAGCGAAGGAGTGCATCGTAAACGAGATGAACCACGATGAAATGCATCTAAATGATGTTGATACTACCAAGAATGAAAACACTGATAAAGTGCTGTGAACAACTTCCTGCTCTGTCAAAACGTTGAAAGGTATCGTGCTGCACATCCTCAGAACACGTGTCATTCGATCTCGAAGACTTCGTTGCAACTGAACGTTTTTCACGACGGAACCACCTCAAAACTTGTTGTGTTCCGCTCTATTAAAACCATGAACATTTATATTTGAGGAGTTGAATAGCATACTAAAGTGGAAAACTTACCTTTGAACTAGGAATCCAAAAATAACGAGTCCAATACCAACACCGATGACCGTCTTCGTTCGACGACTTAGCGCTGACAAAGGTACTGTCGAAGAGAGCATTTGCGTCGAACACTGAAACGAACAAAGTTTCGAGTTGTCAGCTACGCACTACAACAAACCAAATCAAAGAAGAAAGGAAGATTTACGTCAAATGCAAAGAGATACAACAGTTGAAGAAGAACTTAAATGCCAAACGAACATTTTCGGACAGCGGGCGAGCGGTCGCGTCGCGGTCATTGCATGGGTCGCGTTGAATCTGGCGCGAGGGAGGAGATTTCACATGAAAATTGGAAGTTGAAACATGCAGTGTTTGATATATTGGAAGGTGAATGAGTAGTTCCACATATGTTCCTTTCTCCGTTCGCAGACCGTTCCTGGAGTCACTTACAAGGGAACCCCAACAGGTCGATCCGGCCATTTGCAATGAGATGTACATATATGGACGTGTCTTGAGCCGCTGAATCCAAATCTGCCCTCGGAATTTGCGGAACGATTCTCTGAAGGGAGTTACGGACCATTTAATCTCTGCTCTGTTCGCACAAGTTGAGAACGATAACTGCCCACGGCAAGCGGCCGATGGCGTAGTGGATAGGCGCACTGCTTCAGAGACACAGAGTCGCATGTTGGATTCCTTGACTTTCGGAAATTTTTGCTTTTATTCAAAACACTTCGTATGGGTCCCTGTCGGGTCCACGACCTGGATGGGCGTGGCCCGAGATTACGGTATCGCAGGAAGCTGGCGCAAGGCAACTGGAGGACGAGAGTAGACAGTGGTAGTGAGTACTCACGATGTGACGGTCCACCCCCGACCGTCTTCCACTCCCTCCAAGTTCCCTTCCCCTTTGATGTTATTATGATAAATATGTATAGCCTAAAACTCTTTTGTATTCAAAACCGCTACACACCTTCAGATACAGGAGTCATGAACCTGTAATCTGATATGGAGGTCCGGCGAGATCAATTTTTTGAGTATTACACACTTTTGAAATAACTTTATCTAACAACAAATTTTTTTCATTAAAAAATACATCTCTTTCAAGTAGGTCCCTTCCCCCACCCCTACCCAAACCGCTCCCCCTTCGTCTTGATAAGTGCACATATCAGAAGAAGATTCGGGAAGGAATTTAATACTGGACGATCTACTGCGTTACAGGTAAGCTTTGCAATTTTTTTTGTTTTGAATATGCATATTTCACAAAAAAATTTAAAAAAAAAAATCAAAATTAGAGGAATGAGGACGCTCTACCTCTTCTTTTGCATGAGTCTAGTTTTTAACTTGTACTTGGAAATGCACACTGTGCATCTAAAACCAAGCACTCCTCGTTTATCTTGTACTTGGAAATGCACACTGTGCATTAAAAAACCAAGCACTCCTCGTTATAGTCCTGGCGACGAGATCCCCCTTCACGGCCCATTTTGCCATATCGTTCCGCCTGATAGAAACCTCGGCCGTTGGTGGAAGAGTAAAACTTCCAGTCCAGCCAAGCCTATAGGCTTCTTCTTGCATTTTGTGAACCACTGATCAGTTTTGGGCGGAAGAAACCCTCGGCCGTTGGTGGAAGGAGAAAAACTTCCAATCCAGTAAAGCCCACGGTTTCTTCTTGCATTTTAGTTCCTCGAATGATTGTTGGGGCGAAGCTTAACCTTCAATCCAGTCATTGAGAGGTCTTTTTAACCTGCGTTCACGGGTTTTCGCTTGCCGTGTTTTTTTTTTGACGTCCATACTACTTTTGTCAGAGAATGGGGTGACTAGGATGGTTCTGAGTAAAAAAAAAGAAACTCGTTCCAGTGCCTGTCAGACCTAGGACTCTAGTACTTTTATTTCTTTTTACTAGTAGTTGTAGCTTCATGATTTAGGGGAATTATTTCTCCCATATTGCCGTTTAACTTTAAGGGACTCTCGCCATATAGTCGACTCAAAAAGGTACCAATCATGAGAATTAGCTACTCTCATTTACCCTTAGGTCACAGAAGGTGTATTGCACTAACAGAACTGCCAATCCTCGCGAAAACCTATGCCCAGGATCGTGCGTAGGACTAAACTATTTCGTTTAGTAAGCAATGCAATGCTTGGCAAGGCCATAAAGTTTCTGCTAATCCATAAAGGGCGCCCGCAAATAAGTGCGTCAAACGCCCAGGCATTGGCAGAAAACATATTGCGCAAATAACCTAGCACTAGCGAGCAGATACAAATTGCGCAACCGTTCTGGCGATAACCTAATCTGTTGACCGACAGGAAGAGCACACACACGCCAGTCCAACTGTAATGGATAGCGGTGCTAATTACGCAACGCTGCTTGGGCAAGCGGCGTTGTTTTATTGTTTCTCAGCAAGATAATACGGGAACAAACATTGCGCGCTCCTAATAATGACAAAACTCCTAAGAATGCGATATTGGGGCCAATAACATAGAGGAATCTAGTCATTCTATTAAAAATAGTAAAGAAATCAGAAAACAAAGCAAATTTGGCGAAAAAACAGGAGAAAGAAGAGAAAGAAGCCATTTTTTACTTCAAAAAGTCTCATTCAAATGTCTTGTGTGTAATCACACAGACTGGCGGTTACCGTAACCCTAATGTTAATAATAGGCGCTAGGAAGATTTTGAATGGCCTGCGAGCGCGCCACAATAACGTGTTTTGCGTGCAGCCGCACACGACGCGCAGTACAGTATACCCCACGCCTAATTAAATCATTGCAGAGCTCAAAAAGTGATTTTTTGAGAAAATTTGATGTTATCTCTTTCGGATCGTTAAATAACTGGACAAAGGCCATAATAAAAATTCGAGGAAGGTACAAAAAAGTCAATTAAGGGCAATAAAGAGGGACAACTCAACTTTTCCATAAGAAAATAACCCAGAACGATTACGACAACAGAAACTCACTAGGTTGAGGCTGGTAATGTCAATAAGCGCATCATACAATCGACTGCTGTGCAAAATGAGTAGGACTCAGCACACGGCCTACCCAGAAGTTCTTTATTAGTCTGGTTTTTCTTAATTCATTTGATATTTTGTGTAATATAGAAGGCTTTAAGACAGTTAATGCTAGCATCTGCTCCAAATTTAGCAAATAAAACCGTAATCCTTGAGGAATTTGGGTGTAACCAGAGCAATTCCAATCAAACTTCTCGGAAATCTTCGATTTCTGGTATTTCCAGTTAAGAATTACCAATAACTCCGATATAAACTCAATATAATATCAATAAAACCATGCTCTTTTCATATTTTGCCTACCACCCCATGGGAATCTTCCCTGTTTCGTAGTTCCTTCTCCCTAATCGAGGAGAAGAAACATGTTATCTTTTATACACTTATAAAAGTACCGACAGGAGAGTATTTCAAACCATGTCTTCGGGTAATTTATGAATCGAGCTTCAGATATCTACAGTAACCTACTTATTTATGTGAAAATTCATTAATTCAGTATAAACAAAGCCCACATATACGCTGACCCTCGACCCCAAACTCATTCGCAACAGCTAGCTCCACCTGGACTAGCGCCTCTGCTTTCTGCTCTCGACAGCTAACTACCAAGGACTAACAACCTCTCGAGGATCGCCTTCACCTCCACCAAAGGATCAACGTAACTCCATCTTCTCAATCCATCTAAGGATTAGTGAGTGTTTAACATTAGCAATTAGCACTATTGAATTTTTTTCCTCATTTTTTTTCTCATTTCTCCATTACTTTCTTTTCTAACAGTCTTGTTCTTTTTTCGAGGTCCAACTCCTCGAAACTCTCCCATTGATATCTGATAGACTTTCGTAACTCACTCAACATAATTTTGATAAAACCAAGAAATATACACAGTATATAGACGGCTAGTCGTCCCCTCTTTTTATGAGCAGTTCCGACTCTGAATTACATACAGATTCAGACGGACGACCCTTTCATAGACTAGCGGAAGGGAGATATTCAGTGAAGCGTCGCTCTAGATTACGCCTACCTAAGTTCTCACTCCCAAAGAAGCCCAATCTCAAAAACTCTACTCACACCCTCTCA